GAAAGCTTGACCACAAAGCAGAACCGCTGAGCACGTAGCAGAACTGTCCCCAGCAGGATATTCAAGCTGGCCAGAACAGCTTGACGGTTAGTCCAAATGTTTAGCACCAGATTTTATAATTCCATACCAGTTACAGACGGTGGGGTTTTGGTGTTGTAAGTGCCTTTGGATAGACGCGTGGGTAATACGATTTGCGTCAAGTTACGTTGAAGGAGGAGCACCTCATTAAGAGTCAGGCGTTAGATTTTTTGAAGGGTAGTGGGGAGCAGAGTGTTGGGCACTATGTATCCATAGTAATCGCGGATTATTCTAAGACGGTACCTGAGTGTTTTCGAAAAATACACTAATTTGCAATTCACGAAAGACTCGACTGAATCTCTCGTTTTCATAGAGAAAACCACTCACAAGGATGCTGAGTGTGTGTGATTAGTTTGCGGGAACATTGTGATGTGGATGCAAGAGTAGTTTACTGAAGGGCCAAGCGATAGCTTCGCGAAGACTCCTGTAGGTCTCAGCACGGTAAATACATAACGTGGACAACGATCTCACACCAGCGGCGGCCTCAAAAGCACCAGAAAGCTGTTTGTTTTTCAAGCATACATTATCAACAAATGAATGCGAAGCTGACAACGGCGAACCAAAAGAACCAAGACGTGTCGGTAAACCCGCAAAGCTTCAATCGCGGATAATATACCGGTATGGATCAGCAAGGAAACGGCGGAGCAGAGCGGCCATTAGATGCCTGACCTAAGGTTTTTCAGAAAGAACGACCAAACGTCCATTAGCTGGGAACTTCGCAGAAATTCACTTCAAGTGCATTGGCAGTGACGCGGTGCAAGATAATATAATAAGTGACGGTGAGCTAGGGAGAACTGCCTGCAAAGCATGTAGCGCTGTCAAGCAGAATTGCTACTGGTTAAAATGTACACCATCAAATCGTGCAGTTCAAACTGACTGCATCACAATGCGCGCAAAAAGCTCAGTTTTGGGTGAGTTACGTGACGCGAAAGCACGAGTAGAGCAGATTGGTTTAAATAGCACAATAAGTGAACTGTTGTCGAACGATAATCACTGAAACTTGGTGGCATCAATGACTTAAGTCGCCAGAAAAATCTTTGCCATCAAACGTGAAATAGTTGGCGGACTTGACGTGTAACCAAACTACTGAAACCAAGGAGGAGCGGGGCAGTGCCATGAAACAACGAGAGGAGATAAAAGCCACGCAGAACAATCAAACATATAGACGTTGGCATGCCATCGAAGGGTCTTCAGAGGGTTGCAACATACATGTTAATCGAATAGTACTAATCAGCTCAAGGTACAGGAAATCGTGAGTTAAGGTCATGAACTCATGAGCAATACAGTCTACCAGGCGTGAACACTCAAGGAACTGCCAACTGTCCGTCACAGTGATTTATGTTTACCGACATATTTCATTCATACACGGCGATGGTAATCAGGCAGTACCAGCAGGAGCTACAAGACGAACTGAATAAGCAAGCGCATTTTAAGCAAACAAAGGAACTGCCAAAGGATATGTTAAAAGAAGGGAACTGTTAATTGTCTAAAATTTCGTCTTAACTACGAACTGATCGTTTCTGGTCAATTCTCACATTCTGCTTATATTTGTCGTCAGCACACGTTCAGCCACCAGATTGCATCGTGCTGAGTCCCTATTGACTTATCCTCGTTCCGCTCTCACGTGTGACTCCTATTGGTCGTTGCATTTCGTTACTTTTCTGCTCGATCGTGCATAACTGTTGGTTCCTATTGGTTATTCGGTCGAAGAGAAAGTCTCAGCCAATTCATGCCATTTTTCCGATGTTTATAAACCGCCTTACTTCGCGGCAAAAAAGACCTGTCCCTATGCTCGACTTTGGCTTCTTCCTTACGCGGGTTGACGGGTTACCTCCGGACGACACAACAGGATCCACAGAAAGCCTCAGAATATTGTGACTTGTACGGCGAGTGGGGCAAGGACGTCATGTAAGAAGGACTACTATTGTGGATCCTGACCACGGATGACCCATGTTCACCCAAAAAAATTGGAAATCAACGCCCACATGTTGCCAGCCTGAGTGTCCAGGGTCCTCCGAGAGTTCAGGAGATCTTTTAAATGCATAGCCCAATGCTATTTGCCATACTGGAATACACGTTCCCTCCGGAAACGGTGAGGAGAGCATGTAGGTAAACAAATTGCCCGAGAAAATAATGAAAAATATGCAAGCAATACTTGAAAAACTGTATCCCTTTCAGCTTGAATTCGGAGACCTTAGATACTGCTTGGCATTCTGCCTCACATTCAGAAAATCGACAATAAATATCTCTACAATTGCTACAACTCACACAGTCTAAAGCTTGATTTACGGTTGTCATAAGTACTACAATCCGCCTGTATATGACAGACGACTAAAACAAGCTTCCAGCGGATACTACTGATGACGCCTACGAGTATGGTTCTTTTCACAACTCCGCCTCGCGTCTAATGGAAGGTGGGTTTCATTACGGAACTTGTAGAACTAATTTGCAGCGTTCATCTACAACTTCGTGATAGTCAATGAATGTCAACGAAAGTTCAAGAAGGCACGTTGAGATGTTCGGGTTTTGAAAATAAGGTGCGTATGAGGTTTACTTTCCTGTCCAATAGTTTAGCTGGCAAAGGGAGGTAAAGGTAGCTCACAGCAACGCAGTTGAACGATTCAGACATGCAGTCGACCAAAACTAAACAGCACATACAAACTGCAAGAAATCGGGACTGGAAAAACTGAAAACACAATCAGACTAACATGCTAAATCCAAGACAAGATGAGTCACTCTAACTCGTACTAACTCTATGCTTCACCTGGTCTGGCGAGTTGAGATTTTCGACCAGAAGCTCGGGCTGGGTTTCCCTCAGAAAAAAAAACATCTACTGAGGGTAGTAGCAGAGAGATCCTCATGGGAGGGCCAACATTAACCAATCTCAAAGTGTCAGTGTATGCATTGACAGTTCTGTAGTCACCTTTTACTAGAAATTGGAGGCTAATGTGCTACCACGACACTAACATGATGGTCGGTGACCAGAGCGTGCAGTCTGGGCGGTAACGTTTGGTGTTGCACAGCGATACGGACAGGAAACCGCATGAAAATACTCGGGCTGTGATGACAAAGGTAGCTTATTGCGAAGACCTCATTCTTCATACGAAAAGTCATCCCAAGACGAATGGCATAAATTCTGTATCATGATGCATGCCAAAACTATGTTTCAAGTCTAAAAGTCATCCATTTGATACTGACCGTCGAATCAACCTGACTAACTCATTCGGAACACAAACTTCAAGGCTTTATCCATCAAAACCGCCTAAACTATATTTACATCATCGGATGAGAACGATCATGGTTCGCTGCTGAACAACCATGTCAGTTTGACTGAATACAGCCTTTCAAGGTAAGGAGAAGCAAAAAGGTTTGAGAAGTGAACTAGGGCTGATCAACAACAAACGCGCAGCACTCAGTTCGACAACTTAAATGCAACTAAGATTTTCCATAGGCACAGAGAGGGTAACGTGGATCCCATCCTGGAAGGCGGACAGCATGACAACTATCCAAACTCTTCGTAGCGTTTTCATTCACTTTAGCCACGTTAAACTCTGTCCACTTCCAGGCTTCCGCGTCTCTGAATTAGGCACGGAACACAATACTATTCTCGGCATGCGTAACACATGGTCCATGCACCCTGCCTTGCGGTACTGGATGTACGCACTGAATGAAGTACCATGTGCTTCATCAAAAACCTGTCTCCCCCATTACCGCTCTGAGAAGTCACAGGTTCCAGCTATACTTGTGGGATATCGGTGCTTAAAAACCTGAACATGTCTCATATCCTGCACCTAAGACGACTAAGCCTGTAATATGATACGCGCATTCTTTGAGACCCAGCAATATGCCTTTTTGATGCCCCAAGTGGCGCAAATTGGCAAACACAATTCTGCGTTACGGGATACGTGCGTTCACTTCCTCTGTCACGGTGCCATCAGATCTGGTGCAAACCCCAAGATACTATTTCACAACTCCTAGTGCTACTATTTGAACTCAGAGATTGTACGACCTTTGGCTGCACCAAACCAGGCGAAACGAGCAATTTGGTTAACCAGACACTGATCAGGTGACTTGCAGAAATCAACCGATCATTGACCGTTCAACATATTGCCCCTCTTTATTTATATATCATATTTTACTCTCGTGACTGAACATAGTAAAAGAACTGTCAGCATATCGCAGTTTATTTCTCCTATAAATTCGAATGAGTTCAAAGAGTCAACTTCTACTGTCGATCGATAGTGGTTTTATCACTATTTCGCACCCAAAACGAGTGTCCTATACCACCCGCTTGCTTTTCTGCGTTGAATACGTCATAAAACGAACACGAAGTAGGTACTTTGAAGGGAATAGCCGACGTTCCAACAAGCTTGAAGAGCGGATTTCCACTAGCGTGTCCAAGTTTCATCACAGTCCGAGGGGATATTGTCGGCGCGTGGCGCGTATTGACCGTTCCTCTTCGAATAGTGACCAAAAGTTTGCAAATTAGTAGTCAGGTCCAAAGAACGTACGTATCTGTACGTACTACAGATTATGACTACACATAACGTGAACGAAAGGTTAAACGTGAAACAGCAACCTCCTGCTCACCACGAGGCAAGTCAGCTTATGTGGACTGCCTATTTCAAGATTTACCCTTGGCGCCTTTTAACAATCTGCTCGCACATTGAAACAGCGACAATTAGGCTGTTTCGTACAGAACATGATGGCTGGAGCGCGGACTTACTGACTGGAAGGTCCGTGGTTCTAACCCGACCTCTGCCTCTCGACTTTCCCAATCTAGGCTTGGGCAACCTAGCAGTATCCCAGCCCTTATGCTTCCTACGGGCGGCATGGCAGCTAGGCACCGGTGTTACAGCTGAACGATTATCACTCATTTATTATTTGTATAGAACATCAAAAGTAAGAAGTAAAAATAATTCGTCGGATTTTCTGTACAACCCGTCAGGTCAAGCACATGGTTCTGGAACGAAAGCCACAGTAAACAGCATAAATGACAACAATGGACCGGGAATCAGCTGGCAGTTAGCGCTGGTAGCCCGAAAGTTGCGTATCTAATTGGGCACGAAGGACCGGATCCACGTGACAGCGAAATAAAGCATCGGCTGATAATGGACCCCCAACACCCTCCTGCCAAGAGGCAAATTCGGACAACAGCTGATGAACAAGGGACGACCGAGTGGATACCAACTGGGGATGCGGGAATCGTGAGCTATCGGTGTAGGATGCGGGACCACGGTCTTCGTCGAACAAGACCTGATCAATATGAAAAGTCAATAACAATCAGGATGATATCGACATGACAATGAGTAGCTAATCGTAGACTCTATGCACTGAACTCACCTGAATGCAGAGGTTAACCACGGGTTCAAGCCAGTTCGCATTTAGCGTGTTCGAAGCGGCCCAGGTGTCTAGCACAGTCGCATCAACAGCGGAAATATCAGTCAACAGAGTCGCGCTGCTCTGAGCACAAAACCGGAGAGCCATGAGACAGGACAGTGCGAAACACCGTCTATCCATAGGGCCGTTGACCGAGTCGGCGCGAGCCAACCAACGTGTCAGACAAACGCCAACAAGTTGACAATGATCCGATTCATTGGGAGCAGGGACATTGAGATTTGTTGTAGTCGGTAGTTGAAGAGAATTGTCTTTGGATGGCGGTACCAGCGCCAACTGCACCAAATGGAGAAAAACATTCCTGTGTGGATGCGATTAGAGAAGAAACATAAACAGGTACAATAAAAAAAGCGAAGAAATAGAAGGAATAGAATGATGGACGTGAGTTTAAACTGAGAGCTTTTTCTGACATTGAAGAAAACAACATGGCATCGAATGAATACGGAAGATTTCATCTAACACACTACACCGATAAGGTTCCTGAAAACCACTCGGCAATGACTAACGGTTTCGCCCTTGTTGGGGTTCATCCGATAGGCATTTGAATACAAGCGAGGGACGACAGCGTTGGAATTCCCGAAATTTCGACAAGGTCAAATCATACTTTCATCCCAGTCACAGAAGAAAAGCAAGGAAACCGTTAGACAAGTCTCAAGCCTTGAATTGAAGCTGTTCAACTGGTTCGGTGAGAAAAACTGCACATATCTGAGCGAGACTGACAAAGAATGATTGAGAAACGCGAAGAAGGATGACAAATCAGTGTTGCGAAATAGGTGAGGTCAATCGCTAAAGGTGACACCGTCACATTCGGTGAAGACGGAGAGACAAACAAACGCAAGTGCGGCACGTATAGGTCTTTGAATCCACTACGATTTGATAGCAGCGGTCTGGGAAAGACAAAGTTTGAGATTCGGACTACATAAGGCCTATCTACTCAGCGCCATAGAGGAGCCATATTTCCGAGAACCAAGTGTAGCAGGGAGACAAACAATGAGACAAACGTTCATTTGTACGCGAACCCTAGTTCCAGTACACCATAGTTTACATACCGTCTGGATTCGGCAGATCCACACTCCCTGGAGTTTCACGAAATGTGCATTGATGATGA